TCAGGGACACTATGCGTCTTGGAGAAGATGTAATCTCATGATCAAGTCATGGATTCTCAAGGCGGTTCATCCCTCAATTGCTCAGAGCATAATATACATGGATGACGCAAAGGAGATCTGGAACGATCTAAAAAGGAGGTTCTCGCAGAGCGATCCTCATCGTATATCGATCCTGCAGTGCGAAATTTATGGATTAAGACAAGGAAATCTGTCGATTAATGACTATTATACAAAGTGTAGATCGCTGTGGGAAGAGATGAACGAGATGAGGCCACTCCCAATCTGCAAGTGTAATCCTCATTGTTTGTGCTCAGGTGCTCTAATCGATGAAGTTCGGAAGGATCGCGAAATAGATCAAATAATCTGGTTCTTGCAGGGATTAAATGATGATTACAATCCTTTGAAGTCTAGCGTTTTGGTTCTAGATCCTCTGCCCGAGATTCACAAAGTGTATGTGATGGCGGAGAAGTTTGAAAGGCAACTCAATATCAACAGCTTGAACCTAGAAACCAGCCATGCCAATTCCGTCCAGAGCAGTCAGAATGCAACAGAAGAAGTTGTTGCAGCAGTTAATCAGTACTATGGCAGAAGGAACTCGAATTCCGGTGGAAACAAGAGTGCAAAGTGCACATACTGTGGCATGACGGGGCACACCGTCGAGAAATGCTACAAGAAGCACGGCTACCCACCGGGATGGGTGCCGGGCTACAAATCAAAAGGGAAGCAATCTTCCATGGCTGCTCCTACTGCCGGATCCAATCTTGATACTGCCTGCTCCAATTCTGAGAACAACGTTGCTTCTGAGCAGATACAGAAGTTGATCTCACTTCTACAAACACAGATGGGACATAATCAACCGCCAATGAGTGCTGCTGTCTCATTGGTTCCAAAATTTGACAAACCAGAGGCACAAAATACAGGCAAGTATCATACTGTTTCTCATGCTATCAATTTTGTTAATCTGGACTCAACAACTTGGATCCTTGATTCGGGAGCAACTGACCATATAGTTTGCTCTCGAGAATTCTTTAATGTTTGTCATGTTGTTGAAGGAGCAAGGGTAAATCTACCTAATGGAGAAACTGTCATAGTACAACACATGGGAGATATCAAACTGGGGAAGGAACTGTGGCTACGAAATGCTCTGCACATCCCACAATTTAAGTTCAATATTGTCTCAGTAAGCAAGCTCATCAAAGATTCCTCTCACACTTTAATATTTGATTCTGGACAGTGCATGATTCAGAGCCATGGGAGAACAACTGGTTTTGCTAAAGAGGAAAGAGGCTTATACCTGCTGCTTCAACCACCAAAAATCAGGTTACATGGCAGCTCTATTGTGCAATGTAACAGTGCTATGGCCACCATTGAGTTGTGGCATAAACGTTTAGGGCATTTCCCCTTTAATAAAATTCATCTCATTTGTGATGTTCCCAACTCTTTGTCAAAAATGGATCCATGTGATGTATGCCACTATGCTAAACAAAAACGCCTCCCATTTCCCTTGAGCAGTACATCATCAAAAGCCATTTTTGATCTAATTCATGTTGATATTTGGGGCCCGTTTCCAGTGAAATCTATGGGAGGGGAGAGATATTTCTTAACGATCGTGGACGACTATTCAAGATACACTTGGATTCATCTCATGAGAAACAAGTCCGAGACTCGAGAAAAGTTGAAAAATTTTCACAAGCAGATACATACTCACCATGGCTTAGCTATTAAAACTCTGCGCAGTGATAACGGAATGGAGTTTAACTTGGTGGATTTCTTTGCTGAACATGGCATCATTCATCAAAAGTCATGCGTCCATACACCCCAACAAAACGCGGTGGTCGAACGCAAACACCAACATATCATGAGTGTGGCAAGAGCTCTTCGATTCCAAGCAAAATTACCCCTTGAATTCTGGGGATTATGTGTAATGTATGCTGCGTTCATCATCAACCGGCTTCCTTCTTCAGTGACTGATTGGATTAGTCCCTATCAAAAACTCCATGGAGAGAAACCTACCCTTGAGAACATCAAGACATTTGGATGCTTATGTTATGCAGCCACACTGCCTAATCAGAGACACAAGATGGCTTCACGCAGCAGACGATGTATTTTTGTTGGTATACCTGCACATGTCAAAGGTTATTTGGTGCACGACATGCAGGACAATTCAACGTTTATATCTAGGGACGTCATCTTCTATGAGGATTACTTTCCCTTAGCCGAGCAGAGTGAAAAGGCAGAAAGCAAGCATGTATTCAAGCCATCCTTGCCAAATGTGTCCATTAATGATACTGCAGAATTCACGCTCCCAGTTTGTCACCTCAACCATGAGTTGCCCCTTCAGTCCAATTCAAACAATCCTCATGAGATGCCTAACAGCAGCAGCTTGAGTCCTTCACACACTTCAGGGAGCAACATGGTTGCAGACAGTAGTCCATCATACAATTCAGGCAGCCCCCCATACATCTGCAAAGAACCTCTACTACATGAAGTCAATGATGAAGCTAGTGAGGTAGCAGAACTCATATCTTCCCCTGATCCAGTAGATCAGCCAAGGAGATCCAGTAGGCCACGAAATTTTCCAACAAAATTGCATGACTACTATTGTGATGCAACAGTGGCTACCAAGACGTCACCACACTCCATGTCCAAGGTGATATCCTATGCTAATCTTTCATTTTCGCATAAGATATTCTCCATGGCAGTCTCTTCTGTGAAAGAGCCAAGAACTTATGGTCAAGCAGTCATTCATGACTGCTGGAAAAAGGCCATGAATGAGGAAATTATAGCCCTCCAAAACAACAACACATGGGAGCTGACGGAATTGCCTCAAGGAAAGACACCGATTGGGTGTAAATGGATTTTCAAGACTAAACTTAATGCGGATGGCACAATAGAGAGGCACAAAGCCATATTAGTTGCGAAAGGCTACACCCAACAATTTGGTGTGGATTATATCGAAACGTTTTCACCAGTGGCTAGGTTGACCACCATCCGCACCTTCATAGCAGTGGCAGTTTCTAAGGCTTGGTACATACATCAAATGGACGTTAACAACGCGTTCTTACATGGTGATCTTAATGAAGAGGTATACATGGCTCTACCACCTGGATTTCAAAGCGAAAAGCCAAATCAAGTTTGCAGGCTATTAAGATCTTTATACGGTCTCAAGCAAGCTAGTCGTCAATGGAATGAGAAACTCACTGCTGCACTCATCAAAACTGGTTTTCACCAGTCCAAAACCGAGCCTTCTTTGTTCACAAAAGGAGCACATGATGATTTTGTTGCCCTATTGATATATGTTGATGACATAATTGTGTCCAGTGCCAGCTTATCAGCCATCAATGCAGTCAAGCAATTCCTGGACAGCAAATTCAAAATCAAAGATCTAGGACCCCTTGGCTATTTTTTGGGTATTGAAGCCTGCAGAACAAATGATGGATTAAACCTCTGCCAGCGTAAATATGCGCTGGACATTCTGGAAGATACAGGGTTCTTAGATTGCAAAGCGGCAAGCACTCCCATGGCTCAAGAATTAAAGCTCTCACATGGTGATGGAACACCATTAGCCGACCCTAGTTGCTATAGAAGATTGGTCGGCCGACTGCTTTACCTCACGGCCACTCGTCCTGATATTGCCTATTCCGTTCAACAATTAAGCCAATATGTTGATTCCCCTACAGAGAATCACTTATCGGCTGCACATCGAGTATTGCGTTACATTAAAAGCTCCCCAGGGCAAGGATTGTTCTATCCAGCCAATACGCAACTCAATTTAAAGGTCTTCTCCGATTCGGACTGGGCAGCATGCAACGAAACAAGAAGATCCATTACTGGATATTGTGTCTCTCTGGGAGAAGCATTGATTTCATGGAGAGCCAAGAAGCAGCTAACAGTTTCAACGTCTTCATCCGAGGCCGAATATAGAGCCTTGGTAGCCACAGCTTGTGAAGTACAATGGTTAGCTTATCTCCTGCATGATCTGAACATCACTCTTCACAAACCGGCCACATTGTTTTGTGATAGTAAATCTGCGGTTGCCATTGCCGAGAACCACGTGTTCCACGAACGCACCAAGCACATAGACATTGATTGTCATGTTGTTCGAGAGAAATTGAAACAAGGGCTCATCAAGCTGCTGCCAATATCTTCTGCAAACCAAGTAGCAGATGGATTTACTAAACCTCTGGCCATTTCTCCATTCCGGCAGTTTGTGTCTAAGCTTGGGATACAAGACTTGTATGCCCCAGCTTACGCGGGGGGGGGGGGGGGGGGGGTATTAGATAACACAAAGTGAAATCAAGAAGGGCTCAATTGTCTTTACACACTCATATCTGTTATAACGGCCTTTGGCGCCTGTTTATGTACTCGTATATTAGCTCTGCTAAACTGACTAGTGAGGCAGTTAGATCATTCATCATCCTCTGTAATCCTTTTCCCTCTCAACGCAAAGTTACAGTTTCACATCATAGCTCAACTTCCATCAGTGCATGAACTCATGAAAGCAATAGAGAACTTATTCATCAACGATGACCTTATTAACTTCAGCCAGGAACCTACAAGCTGAAAGATAAAGTGAAGTTCAAATACAGATTAGAAAAACGTCTTTGGACAAAATTACAATAAATGGTGCATTTATCAAATATAGGATTCTTGTTTTAGTCCCTCGACTAGACGACTGTTGGATTTTTCACTTTTGTGGTTATCAACTCCCAAAATTGACTACATTTAATACCTAACGACTTTGAAAACTTGCCACTTTTAGCCCAACAAGATCAAAATTTGGTGCCAGATTTAGTACCTGACTATAGGACTAAAGTGGCAAGTTTTAAAAACTCAGGTACCGAATTTTTAATTGATTTTGAGGTTGATGATGGGAAGTACAAATAAAATAGTTCATTAATTAAAGATGGAAAGAACTCTTCAAATAAAACTAGAAAGTAATTAGCAATTGCAAAAGTTAATATGGAGTTTAAGTATAAGTTTCATAGGTATATACATACCTTGGCTTTCATAAGTTTATAATAAGCCCAAAATTAACAAATTCCTCAATCACTTTCTTCTTAGAGCTTACAACACTTTCCTCATCAATTCTTTGAATGCATTCAGAGATTTCGACACCTTCTTCTTTAGATATTTCCTCACACTCTTCCGAGCTTTCAACCTTTCTTGATCAAAGCTTCCAACACTCAATTCGTTTGATTGATTTTGAAGTTGATGACTGCAAGTAAAAATGAAATATTTTGTTGATGAGTTAAAGTTGGAATGAACTCTTTAAATTAAATAAAACTAGACAGTAACATACAATTGCAAAATATAATATGGAGTTTAACCACAAGTTTCATAGGTATATACATACATACCTTGCTTTGGATCATAAGTTTATAATAAGCCCATAAGTTTATAATAAGCCCAAAATTAAAAAATTCCTCACTCACTTTCTTCTTAACACTTTCCGCTTCAAATCTTTGAACGCATTCAGGGATTTCGACACTTTCTTCTTCAGATTTTTCATCACTCTCTTCCGAGCTTTCAACCTTTCTTGACCAGAGCTTCCAACACTTAATTCTTTATACCTTCCCACACTTTCTATTTTAGAGCTTTCCACACTTAGTTCTTCAGAGCTTTCATTATTTGGCAATTCAACCTTGAAAAGAAATTGAAAATGAGTACAAAAATAAATAAATAAATAAATTAATACATGGAATTAGAGGGTAGAAAACTAATATTTTGACATAATGAAAATGAATTAGAGAGAAACCATCCAGCTTCCCATGCATTCCTCTTTAGAGCTTTTCACACTTTCTTCTTTAGAGTTTTTCACACTTTCTTCTTTAGAAATTTTCACAATTTCTTCTTCAGAGATTTCCACGATTTCTTCAAAGCTTTCCGCAGTTTCTTTTCAGAGCTTTTCACACATTCTTCTTCAGAGCTTTATCAGACTTTCTTCTTCAGAGTTTACTACAATTTCTTCTTCAAACCTTTCAATATTTGGCAATTCAACCTTCAAAAGTAATTGAAAATGAGTACAAAAATAAATAATTAAATTAATACATGGAATTAGAAGGCAATAAACTAATATTTTGAAATAATGAAAAAGGATTAGAGAGACACCTTAGTTCTAACTTCACGAACACAAAGTGGATAACTAGGCCCCAGTTGGCCTTCAATGTAAATCCCAAGTTCCTTTAGGTTTGGAACCATTTTGAAGTTTGGTTTTTTATCGGAGCTAGCAACTTTCAACCAATAAAGAGTTTGTAAATTTTTTTTGACTAAGCGAGGGAGATATTGTGAACATCTCTTGTCAACATGCAAATGCCTTAAATGTCGCAAACCCAAAATATCACATGGAAGTTGCAAAGGACATTTTTCGATCCACGAAGTAACTATGAGAGTTCGCAAATTTTTAAGCTTGAAAAATCGAAGCTTGTAAAGAGAACCAATGGTACTTAAAGCTAAGTATCTCAAATGAACCAAATCTGTTATTTCACTAGGCATGCCTTGTGACCATTTAACTGATGATAAATCCAATACACTTAGCAATTTCAAACATGGGTATACCAACCTAGATTTTGAATGGTATACATCTTTACTAAAGCAGAGAACAGAATGGATTTTATCAGAAGTGCAATTCCCATAACTCGCTTGATTGATTGACCAATGACTTGTTTGATAGCTTAACCAACGGCAAGCTTTTGGAGCATGATTGTCATTGATAATGCACAAAACATTCCCCTTTATTGCTTCTCTCACACAAACCTCGTGCACTCGATCATGAACCTTACATGATTTAATTTTGCCCTCAATACTCAGCTCATTAATTTGAACTAGACTTCTATTAATGAGATCATCCAAGTAACTCTCTGCCACTTCTTCCAAACTCATATTTTTATGTGGCATTAAAAAACCCTCCGCAACCCATAAGTTGATTAGTCTCTTAATAGGAATGACATTGCCTTCAGGAAACACACCAAAATAATGAAAGCAAGCTTTCAAGTGACTAGGTAAGTAGTTGTAGCTCAATGAAAATATTTTTGAAATTCTGCTGTTATAATCATATGTATCAACTACATCCAAAGTTTCCGCAACATCTCTCCGTATTTCTAGAGACTCTTTTGCGGTTGCCAAAAGTCCAGCAATCACAACAACTGCTAGCGGTAATCCACTGCAACCAAGAACAATGCGTTTCCCAATTAACTCATATTCCCTGGGAACGCATTGGCTTTGCCCAAACACTTTCCTCGAAACTAATTCCCAACGATCCTTCAAAGTTTGATACGTCACATGGTAAGGATTTGCACTTAAGTATTCAGCCACCTCTATGAACCGAATAGTTACTAAGATTCGGCTTCCGTTAAAATTCTCTGGAAAACATCCTTGGATAGCATCCCATGCAGCAATGGTCCATATGTCATCCAAAAAAATTAAATACTTCTGGCCGACTGGCCCATCAAACTTCTGCATAATTGCTCAGCTATTTGAGCATCGTCTATGTCATAGATTTCACTTGTTATTGGTGAAATACAACGTAATAGACTAATGAGCATCTCTTTGAGGTTATGAACTTTATACACAACTACTCATGCTCGAATGTGAAAGCTAGCAATAGTAATTGGATGTCCATAGACTCTTTTGGCTAATGTAGTTTTTCCAATGCCTCCTTCCCCAACTAGTGGCATAACTTGTAGTTCCAGCACATATTTCCGGAACTTGTAATTGTTACTATTGTTCAAAATGTTGAAAACTGATCCCATTAAGTATGAATAACAGAGCCGGTTAACTATCTTCTCTATATCATTGTCGAATCCTACAATCACTTCATTCTCAATCTCTAAAGCATTTTGGTAGGTATCCCAAATTGTGATGTTCTGTTCCTCAGTCTCTCTTCTTTTTTCCTCCAGGATCCAGTTTTTAACTTCCTCAATATCTTCATAAGGCTTAACTGCAGCATTCCCTTTCCAGTAATCTCCCGAATATAATAGTCTCGGTTTAGATATTATTTCATACTTTTCATATATATATTCTAGCTACTTCATCTTGGACATATTTATACAGTCTCCAAGCCCTGGTGTCCCCGTCATTCATTTTCGTCTTACATTCCACCAAAAAGGCTTGCATAAAATGGAGCTTGTAAGACAGCAACTCAATCATTTCAAGCAGTGGCACCATCATTAATCCTTCAGCCAGTTCAACATTCAAACTTGAAAGTAGTTTGGGCTCCATAAGATCTTTCTCTGCAGCCTCTACTAATTTGATTAGAGTGGTTACAGCATCATAAGCCATTGAACTTCTCTAAAGTGTTTCTGGAACTCATATAAGACTAATTAGTCTCAATTACGTACTTTACTGACCAAGAAATTAAATGCAATGATTATATCACTAAAATTAAAAAGTATTTTTTAACTAGCGACATTTGCCACTAATGTTTAAAGTAAATATTAAATAAATATTAGGGGCGGTTTTTGAAAACTATAGCTTAATCCAACACATTATTTAGTCACGGTTGAATAACTGCTAGGAAATACAATCATGGCTGTTTGTAGCCGCCGCGCTAAATGCCATATTTGGTATAGTGGATGGGAATTAGGTTCCCGTGCGGTTGGTGCGCCCAGGTGCGGTTGTGCGTTGAGAGAAGAACCATTGATTTTGCTTAAATCAACGTCCAGATTACCAAAATGAAAAAAAATAAATAAAATGAGGATAAAAAAACGGTGGCAATTTGGTAATTTTTGCATCTAGGTCAAATTTAAGGTGCATTGTTTTTGTGATTAAGGTGCGTGAGTTTTGTGCTTAAGGTGCGTGAGTTTGTGCTTAATATATATGGAATGGTTCCGGTGCGGGAATGGCTTCCCATGTGGTTGTGCGGTTGGACGCACCTTAAGCACAAACAAAGCACCATAAGCACACAAACAAAGCACCTTAAAAACACAAATCACTCACCTTAAGTACACAAACCACGAAACCTAAGCACACAACAAACCACCGTAAAAACACAAACCACGCACCTAAGGTTTTAAAATGGCTCACATTAAGCACAGAACACACGCACCTTAAACATAGAACCCACGCACCTAAAGCACAAAACCTACACACCTTAAGAACAAAACACACGCACCTTAAGTTTTAACAATTACTCACATTAAGCATAAACCCACGCACCTTAAGCACAAACCACTACTGGAAATTTTGAAATTTCCGACCACCTGAAAATGATCTTAAATTAAGTTGATACCAAAAAGTCCAAAAAGTGGTCGGAAATAGCAACAAAGGTTTTTCCGGATACCAAAAGTGGTCGGAACAAGACTTTCTACTTGATTTAAGATCACTTTCAGGTGGTCGGAAATTTCAAAATTTCCAGTAGTGAACTCACGAACCTTAATCACAAAACCCACGCACCTTAAGCACAAATCTCACGCACCTTAAACACAAAACTCACGAACCTTAAGTTTCAACAACTACTCACATTAAGTAGACAACTTACGCAACTTAAGCACAAAACTCAAGCACCGTAAGCACAAACTCACGCACCTTAAGCACCAAAACTCACGCACTTTAATATCAAAACCATGCACCTTAAATTTGACTTAGATGAAAAAATTACCTAATTGCCACCGCGTTTTTTTTTAAAACAAAAAATTTGGAAATCCCGAACGTTGATTTTAGAAAAATCAGTGACTCTCCTCTCACCGCACCTGGGGACACCAACCGCGTGGGAACCTACGACTAAATCGACTAAAAATAATTGTTTTTGGGGACCAAATCGATGAATAAGCAATTGAGAGACTACACTAATAATTCACTAATAATTGAGGGACCAAATTGTTCATTAACTCAAAATCTTTTTAAATCTATTACGGAGTATATTACAAATGAAAATAAAATTATTTTTACCGCTCTTACCAATATATATAATCTCACTGATCTCCCAAATAGAGCCCAAGTCTTCGTCAATACATACATATATACATACATATATAGATTAGTGATTATATGAGAACCACTCGTAAAAATATGAGAATTAATCTGGTGTATTAAAAAGACAGATCTATGAATGAAATTAATTAAGGGAATATAATGAAAAACACGCATGTGCATATAGAGTGCTATGCAGTGTGCATATTAAGCATTTGTTCTGTATGTATATTTGCACAAAACACATGTTTAATATGCACACATCATAACACTCTATATGCGATACGCGTTTTTAATTTCATCAATTAATCTAAATCATAAATCTGTCTTTTTTTAATGCACCAGATTAGTTCTCATGTTTCAGTAGCAGCAAAAGATAAAGGAATTGAGAGGGCAAAACGTACTGATGTTAATATATATATATATATAAACTATATATCCACAGTGAATAAATAACACAAAATCCAGAATGAATGAACTGAATATCCACAATGAATGAACTAAATATCCACAATGAATTAACTGAATATCCACAATAAATGAACTAAATATCTACAATGAATGAACAACATAATGCTGTTGAGGGGAATCGAAACTGATTTTTTTTGTTTAAAATGGGACGCACGTTTTTAGTCAAAACGACGTCGTTTTGCAACCGTGTTCACCATGCATGGTACACACGGTTGCACAACATAACTATCCACGGCGCACAGTGCACTGTGCGCCCCGCGCCTCCCAAAACGACATCGTTTTGGGAGGCGCAGTAGGAAGTTGACATGATTATTATATTTGTTTATACAATTATGTATATTTTTTATTATGTACATTTTTTTATACAATTATGTACATCCGAATCAGGAAATTTTTGTGCATTATGTTAAGA